AAGATCTATATCGGGAGTTGCTGGTTCTAACTGTCAGGCAAATTTTTATAAAATATATTGTCACAAGACAGCACTCTACTCCAACCACGACTGACATATCTCGACGAAGACCGCACAAAATTTACAATGTTCCCATTTGTAATACAAATTTTACCCGATGTTTTTCACACTATCTTGGGCCATTTCTATACAATCGTCTAGGCAAAGAAGTTACACTGAATGACAAAACGAAATACCTGTGTGGAAAGGCAGTAGAAGAGTTCCTTCTTAAAATGGACTACGATGACACTGAAAATATTTTATCTATTGTTGTTTAAACATTAACGAATTTATAAGTATATTATATACAAAGCATGTTATATTATCTTTCCTATTAATACAATATACGTACACACAATTCGAACTTTATCATATATTTATATTTATTAATCTATTAAATTTATTTATCTTTATTTTTAATGTTTTAAATAAATAATTATACACTGGTTGAATGTATTAAACTAAAGTTTCTCTTTTTAAAAGGCATGATCTCAGTATTTTAGATTTACATAATTGTTATTTGTTTACTTATAAAAAAAAAAAAAATTAAATTAAAAAAAAAAATTCTACATCTATGTACATACTAATTCATATCTTTAAATAAAAGTCTGATGTCAAGTAACAGAACTATTTACATTCTAGCCATACAGATTATGATCTAAATAGCGAAATANTTCGAACTTTATCATATATTTATATTTATTCGTTTCGTTTCGTTTCGTTTCAGCCAAATGACGTCCACTGCTGGACAAAGGCCTCCCCCAAGGTTATATTTATTAATCTATTAAATTTATTTATCTTTATTTTTAATGTTTTAAATAAATAATTATACACTGGTTGAATGTATTGAATTAATATTTCTCTTTTTAAAAGGCATGATCTCAGTATTTTAGATTTACATAATTGTTATTTGTTTACTTATAAAAAAAAAAAATTAAAAATTAAAAAAAAAAAAAAAAAAAAAATGTTTCTACATCTACATACTAATTCATATCTTTAAATAAAAGTCTGATGTCAAGTAACAGAACTATTTACATTCTAGCCATACAGATTATGATCTAAATAGCGAAATAAAATTTATCTGTATTCCGCGCGTATACTGTATTTCGCTAGTTCACGTCATCATGCTCAACGCAGCGACCGGTTTCTCGGCCGAGTCAACACGCACGCTCGCTAATATGGTTCTTATCTGTATGGAGCGAGAATCACTACCTTGCCGTAACACAGTTTTAACTAGTACGGGAGGTAAAGGATTTTAGCCGTATACCCACATATTATTAATGTATTCCATCATAGTTTTTAATCTTAAAAGACTGTATTTATTATTTTTAATTACTTAGATTACTTAAATTGCATTTTAGATTTATAGTTTCTTTCTTGTATACCTAACTACCTACTTACTTTACAAGTATACGACTATTCTGTAAGTCACACTTTGTTGTTGTTGAAATAAATTTATTATTATTATTCTCTTTATTAACCTTGGTTCTTAATTTTAAATATTTTTTATTATTATTCTCTTTATTAACTTTGGTTCTTAATTTTAAATATTTTTTAAATATTATTATTATTATTACTATTTTTATTGCTCTACATTCTTTTACCTACATAAGTTTCCCAATGAAACTTAAACATAATAATCGTTTTATTTTCAATGTATGAAATTCGGACACATCAAACGGAGAGTTATAATAATATTAGACATATCAATGTTAGTACAACAATTTGGATTCCAAACAAATATTATTCCAATAAAGTTTATTTGCACACCCTGTATTAATTACGGTCGTATATGCGGGTAGCATGGGCCATTAGACGAAAGACAAACAGCGCACAGCGGCCAGTTATAATAATCTCTCGTCAAATTTGCTTGACCCCATCCTCCTCTTGAGGGCTAAGCTCCCAAATTAGACTGAGATTTTTCATTAAACAAATATATGTACTTATGCTCTATTGTTCAAGTACAGACGACAGCTCATCAGACTATACGTTCTTGTTGCAAAGTTGACCCTATTCCAACCATGTAAGATCCCTTAAGTTAGATAAATGTGACCTTCGCCTGCTTACTAAAATCTGCTATTAGAACAATGCCAAAGTGCATCAATTTTAACACTGCAAACACTTACAACATACCTCCAAATAAAACTAAAATCGTACATAATTATGAAGCTTAGAGTAAAGATAAAAATTGATATTTTAATTACAAAAGAGCTAACGTTCGAAATATTAAGTTTTTCAAAAAATAGTCATACATGACTGACTAATCTTCACAAGTTTAACAAGAAAACTTTCCAACTCAATTTCGTTAATCGCCCTTAATTATAAACTCGTATTAAAACAATACGCCTTACCTGCTTTACGTATTATGTAGGTAGGCATATTTTCCAAACTCTACAAACGCGTGCGGCGCGGGTAGACCGTCGGATCCGTAGCCCATTTAAACTTTTCTGTACAGCTCGTTACCGGAGGATTATTAAATATTGAACCAAACCAGACGAAGCTTCTAGACCCGTGTAAATCCAAAACCAGAACAAAGAGGATGTTTGCACGAGCATTTGTTATAACGAGATATTTCATTTTGGATCGTAGTGCTTCCGAGTTTGTACGCTCAGTGTACATAGTGGCCGGCTCTTTGTCTTAGTTGATTGAGTCTTAGCATAGAGATAGAGTTAGCACAGAATAAATACTAGTATTAGCAACGAGAGAGAATAATACTCCATAGACATTTTTATTTCTCGTAAAAATATTAAACTTTGTCTCAAATTAAGAAATCAAATTAACTTGCGATATTTACAAAGCCGAAGTTTCTACAAATATTATATTTATATACGTATCTAAATATTTCTACCTACAGCGTAGCATCGCATGTTTGGTTGAACTTTTTATTGAAATTTTGTATTGCCTACTTACGCAATAACGTCTACTCATACCCTTTAAGGTTAATCTCAAATCCAAAAGACTACAAAACAAACTAGGTATTCTTAATAAGAAACATTTACTTCACGTTCTCCTTAAATTACTACGATCTTTCATTTTCTCCGATACACGCTACAACCGCTACACAGTGCTACGAACAGATGCTACGAGTGCTACGTCATTGGAAAATCTCGTAGCCCTTTACTTATTCTTGAATCGCTCTAATCGATCCCAAAAACGACGGGTCAGCACAAAATACACGCAGATTTCTAATAAAATCGTCAGATATGCCAGATCACGCACTGCCCGCCATACTACATTAGACGGTGATCCTGATGCAAACTCGCCGATTGTGGGATTAGAGATCGGACAGAAAAAAGACGACGCGACCCCTATCGAGTTTAATCTCCTATCTTTCATATCGATTTCATAAACAAATGCATTTAGTTTGTTAAGCTTTGTTTAACTGTCTGCGCGAGCGGTTGTTTTGTAAAAACAAGCGATGGAGTTTCAGTATGCAAAAAGGCGTTCATTTATTCAGCGTCATGTAAAGTTGTAAATTTTTTATTACAGTGTTTTAGTTGTGTCACCTGCCTATTGGAACGTAACTTCTTGTATTTTCTTTTTTAATTGCCTTTTGCAAATCAACGATACTGCAATAATAATCATTATTTTGACTTCATGACTTCTACAGCTACTTGATACTATGACTTCTATCCATAAAAAGCAGCTTGCTATTTTCATAGGACGGTGTCTTAAATTTAAATAAACTCCCTATTATTTTTGTAACCCTCCAGAAACCTATGACCTATTGTGGCATGTTGTGATTTGTAATAGACGCAATTTTGCACTAAACCGCACCTATACTTCGATGTACTACCACAATGACACAACCAAAAAGAATTAAGATCAACAACATACAGAACTGAACGCTCCCTTTACTTCATATCATACGTTTACGTCGCAATTCTGCAAACACTCGCAATTTAAAAAGCGAGCGCTAGAGCTTAGCCAAACCGTCGAGTTATCGCCCCCCCGTCACCCGGGGTGTTTAATTGTGAAAGAAATCTTTGCTCTTTGTCAGCGGGGGACTATTGATTTCTTTTGTTTTATGCTGATTGAGACACCTCCGAACCGCGGCCTCCCCTGACAAAACACTAGCGAAAATTGAGAATTTTACGGCACGGTAAAATTTTTCGACTGACGCTACATTCGAATTTGGATGCTCTTGAAAATAAGTTAGGTTTTATAAGATGTGTGCATGAAATTAAAAAACCGATTGTAGATTGTATTTAAACAAATAAGAAAGAAAACCAAAAAAAAAAGTATAATTGCTGCCAATTTAAGAATATGAATTCAATTTAAAAAGAAATATTACCTGCTTTGGAAGTAAATAAAAAGACTAAGTACAGTACACCCACACCTTACAACTGTAGGTAAGAATACTATGATTTCTAACCGCTTTGTACCATTATTTTTCTCCTACCCGTCTCTCGCGGTCGTACGAGACATATAAATCTTCGTCAGCCATATCTTACCCGGCACTGTCAAACCTCAAACCCACAAAACTTCGATTTCTTACGCCCTAGAACATACATTTCAAATTCCAATGGCACTGCGCATCGACATGTAAAGCCAATCAACATTAGCCCCTTTGAAGATCGTTCTAGGTAGTGTTGCGAAAAAATAGAGATATTTATCGACATTTAAGTAAGCTTGCTATCGATGATTTCACTAAGGAATCCTATATGCATGCATAGTTATTAACTACTTGGTGATTATTTTATCAATCGTAAATCTAAATCAAAGAAAGATTGAACTATCTCAGCCTAGTATCCTTACCTTCTTTACTTACTTTACAATCAAAGTTAGGTTTACTCATTATAGCACCAGCTAGATACACAGCTCGGTATCAATGTTATGCTTTTATCAGCTTTATTTGCTATAAAAAAATATTGTTTTTGATATAAAATTATTTTACAAATATGAATTTTATTTAAGGAGTGCTCAGGTTTGATGTCATTTTCAGGGATTCAGATTAATGTTGAACAATACAACGATTAAATCCATCGCGGGATCGATAGAAGTCCCTTACAACACTACGCCTAGGCTCATTTCTCCGGTGATTGACTGCAACTTAAGAAAAATTAGATCGCCACCTCACCGCTCGATGGCATCGAGTTTTTTCGAGCGCTCGCTAATGGCGTCTGCCTTATCTCAGCCCTAATGTCCTTATGCGGGCGACAATAACAAGATTTTGACACATTAATGAAGCGCGGATTATTTGGATTTGGAACAATCAAAGGGACTGTACAGGGCGCTGTTTTAGGTAAGACTATTATTTTTAATTTGTTGCACAAGGCTGTGAATATGGGGAAGAAAATTCTTTTTACATTATTTATGAACAAACACCTTTTGAACTTTGTAGACAATTAGAAAACTTTGACTATCGGCTATTGGTAACTTGGTCTGTCATTAGTCATTTAGTACATTGTTAATTTAATTTATTGTTTTTTTTAAGAGATCTTGAGACGAAATTCAAAAAATTGGATTAGAGAAACTTATGTAGAGACAAATAAAATTGTATGTTCATTCCTTGAGAACACTGTTGTAAAAAAAATCTTAATACCTAGTAGATTAGTCAGTTCACATAACTATAGCTAAAGCTTTGATGTCCATTAACGGATTTCCCCCAACTTCCTCTCAATTTCCATAACTGTAGGTGCCTACCTACCTGTCTTCATAATTCAAATGACGTCATCTAGTGTCCACGAATCAATTTTTCAATCCATCTCGAAGATCCCTTCAAAGAGCTCCTCAAGGAGGTGCTCTGGGCCCGGTGACGTCAGCGGCGACTTAATTGCTCAACACTTCGTTAGGGGCTGATGGCATTTTTAATGAACACCCGAATTAATGTAGTGGGCGAAATCGAAAATCGAAGTGTGGACGCACTTACGATTGTTTGCTTAGGACACGGTTTGTAGCCGATGAATATTGGATCGTTTGTTGATACTTTTGAATGTAATGGCGGTAGGATACTGCCTCTGGAAGTCCAGACGTTTTAAGTAGGTGCTCTTACGTGTGTGAAGGTTCTTGGCTTAAAACCATTAGAATATTTTGTACAAGTGGATGTCCACTTCACTTGATGTTCAGTAACTACTGAAAATTCTGGTAAAATGTATAGTACAAAATATTGTATTTTTTTTTATTTAGTGTAAAGTTTCATCAAAAGCAGAATTTTTTGAGTACCTCAAAAACTTTTTGTTTATAATATGAGTCCCATCCTTCGGAAAGCATGAGTTTACCTTTACCATAAGTTACGCTTTTCCAAAGGTCTGACACTAGAATCTCAATTTTCACAACTAATAATGTCTGAAATATCGTTCGTTTTATTGATCAATACTTGAACGATGCCTCAGCCTCAGTCTTACAAATACACCCAAACATCAATATTTCACACCAAGCTCCTAAACACAAGCCGCCCCCAATTAATCAACTTTCTGAATTCATAAAAATACTGCCTCGGGCCTAAGTAAACAGATGAAATAAGAGAAGTGTCGACTGAGGACTGAGGACTGAAATAAAAGAATTCGTATAGATTGACAGGTGCGTCTTAATAAGTTGGCGACATCTGGACTGGAAGAAGGTAAATTGCCGGCTTTATTAAAACAAAACAACTTTTTATTGGTTCCTTGCGATTTCGATGTTCGATTGCGAATTGGAATTGAGATTAAGGACTAATGACCTTTTGTAGCCCTGAAAGAAATATTTTTATTGACTTCGTTTAAATAACGGTTACATTTTAAAGAAATTAAAATCCACTAAGGCGGTCACGGACAAAAATTAGTAAGTAATTAAGTAAAAATCTCAGGCGTCTCACCCGTCATTTATTACACGAATTCTGTTTAGTTTTACGCCCAGGAACATGAAAGTCGTATACAGGGTGAAATTTAAATCATTGGCGTCCTTTTAAACTACCCCCGTTCGTAAAGACTCTACTCATGATGCATAGTACATTCCCAAAATTTAATATGAAACAAATCGAGTAAAGTGATTAGGTAAAACACTTTTACATGGCTTTATTTATTGCGATATTTTGGAAACGCACTATGTATCGAATCTTATTTTAAAAGGATGCCAACGATTTCAATTTCATCCTATTTTCACATAGTCCCTTCATTAAGACGATACATAGCGTACATTGTTTCAGATCAAATTAAATCTACCCCCGTTTTAATTCCAGACAGAGGGATGGCCACTTATTCCGCTGACCTAAGCAAATTTCAGCCTCTGTTGGTTTTTGCCGGATTCCTATATCTTCACTTCTGATTATATTATTCCATACTTTGTATAAACAATGGCTTCCCAACCCTTCTACACTATTACTTCGTGTCGGGTTTGGGGGTGTGGAGAAGGATAAAATATTAAAAGAACAACTAGAGTCACAATCACACGTATAGGTACTTTTAATAGAGAGACTAACTTACTTTTTACAGTTAGTAGAGCTGCTGTATGCTTTAATACTTACTTAGAGGTGTTTAATCAGAACGTTTGCCTCTTTCTTCTTGTCTGGAGACAGTTTGTAGGTACAAAAATGTTTAAAATTGCACCTTCACTATTTTCTCAAATAACATTACCTACGAGACTCTTCGCTGATCTACGAGTAATGCACTACACTCAAAACATTGCAACGAAACTTCAGTTTAAATGAGTACCAGAAAATTTTACAAAAAAATGCACATAAGAAGTCTCGGCAAAGATGGGTGTGTGATTAATACTTGCCTACACACACAGTGTAGGTAAGTATTAATCCTTTTCCATGTCATATTTTCATAATGATAAGATATTTGTAGATTTTGATGACAATCACTTGTATAGGTACTTACCTACTCTTAACGTGACATCATCATTTCCCCCGACTCTATCCCTAAAACAAAATCCCTCTCCACACTCCGAGCCTTTCATAAATATTTTTCATGGCTCTAACCGCTGTAAAAGGTTCTGTATACGTTGCTTTTTGGCTCCTTTTGGCAGCTAATCCAATATTGACCGCTCGGCTATTGACTTGTGTTTGCTCAACTCATAATATTTCGCCGACTGTACCGCCTTTATTATTCAAAATATCAATTTGCTAGAGTTGTTTTCTTGCGAGTCAAAAGGCCCTTAAAATTTTACTGTTTATTTTTGCGTTACAATGAAATTATGAAATGTGTGGCACGTATTTAGTATGAATGTTAATGAATAAAATATATTCTTATTTATAATCAAACCTAGGCTTTGCACGCGGCTCTACTTTTGAGAATTTTAGTTCGATAAATAAAAACGATTTTAATAACTTTGTATCTGTAATACATACTATTTTACCTAGCTAGTAGCTAACATTACTTACCCCCTCCAAAAATGTACGCAAACTTCTTAATATTCGCAGAAGCGAGCAGTGGCATTTATGTAATCTATTATCTTAGGCAAAAAGTTTTTATTGATGAATATGGACATGGAGTGATGAAAAATTTATAAGTAGTTATTTTTAAATCTATTGAGGAGCAAAATGTAACCGATTAGGTACCTACCTACGTTACGCGCTTACGCTTATGTCAGATAATCTCTACATTGAAACCCAAAACTCGCTCACATTCACAATTCAACCCAAAAAGATTATAATTAAAAATCACCAAGCGGTAACAACAGAAAGAAGTTTCCGTCCTGAACAAAACGTTGCGGTATCTAAACGTCCATCTTTGTTCGGCAAAAATTATGTTTTTCGGACGCGCGCCCGAGTGGAAGGAGACCCAAGCTTCATTTATTTTACTTACACGATTACGAATACACCCTGTATATCATGTACGCTCTGACGCGTTACCCGAAGTTATTAAATTACAGGATTATCGACTTAGAAATTATAGTTGCTTCTTATTTATGTTAGTTGCAATTTATTTGCTCAATGTTCTTAAAACTTTTATAGTAAGGGAAATAAGTAAAATTAAATGACATACAACTCTATTTATGTAAATAAGAAAAGATGAAAGTGTATTTTTGTCATTTAATTAAGTAAGAGCCAAGTTATTAATTTATTTTTCTCTAATGATAATGTGGATTTATATCGAGTAATTATCGTAGCAAAATTATCCCCCAAAAAGTTCGTACGTAAGTAATTATACAGCGATAGCTAATTTTTCAAATATTTCATTTAAGAGAGTTTATTTTATTAGAGAAAAGAGAGTCCATTAGTTTCACCTAATGTAGAAAACTACTTAACTACTATCATTAATACACCGATAAATTACCCGAAACAAGCACTCAATGCAAATGTTATTAGGAATCTGCTTAGTGAGCAACGAGCATCCTCGGAAGATCCTAAACGGCTGAAAAATCCCATCGAGCCTAATGCCGCGCCTTCAAAGGCTCCGTTTTATTTCGCGTCAATTCCTACAACGCCAAATGACTCCAATTTGAATATGTAATAGCGGCTCAACATAATCGGCCGGCTTACACTAATAAAGGCGCGCCAACTTTCAAACGCCATCGTTCGATTCTTTCCATTCGATTCAAGGGGCGAATAATTTATTCGAGTGTGGACGCCATTTTGCGGCGGGGACCCGCTATCGCGGAAGGCGCTTTAAGACATCGATGCTGATTCTTTTTTTATTAGGGGAGCATAAAGACGCTAATACAAAGCCCATATAAATAAACCCGCTTTATACAGAACCAGACAGGAAGACGACCCACCCTCGCCCGCGGAAAACAATCTAAATTACATTTTCACGCAACTTCAAATGTCTTATTAATTACTTACGACTTTTCAATGCAATAAATTTTCTTTTAACGCCGCCTCCACCCAATCGGCTTATACACAAGACTGGCTTTGCATACTGATCACTCATTGTGCCCTCAGTTAAAGTTATTTCGGACCCTAATGAAAGATTGCTTAAAAGTACGAAGTCACAATCTGGGTTTTCACAAGACGTGTTATAAATAAAGGGAATCCATACTATTTGTTTGGAATCCCCTCAGTCAAAGAGAAAATACCTGGCCATGATTTAGAGAACAGAAGACAGAAGCGATACGACGTCGTCACCTATGGAATGGGGGTCATCCCTCAGCCAAGATAATAGAGGGGATAGTGCCGTGCAACCCCCAGAGATTTGTCAAACAAATGCGCGTGGATGTATCGAAAAAACTGGCCGAATACTGGCCGTTAAGGGTATTTATGAGCTATTCAGCCACGCTTTTTTATTAATAAAACGTATATTATGCGCGCAAGTGCGTTTTATATCGGTCCGTCCTTTCTTCGCGCGCATTACCGTCCTTCTTTGGACATCTAATAATATC